CTTGTTTTTTTTTATAGATAATTTGTACTGAGGAATTATTTTCCTGATATATTTTGCCTTTTATATTTTTTTCCCGTGATGTATCTTGTCCTGAGATATTCTGTGCAGAGTTTCTCCCCCCTCCCCCCCCCCCCCCCCCCCCCCCACCGAACGAAATGGAACTTATATAGAAAATATATACTTTTAAGTGTCCGCCCCTCCCGGAAATTTTTTGGTGCCCCCCATCCCCGGAGAAAAAAGGCTGGAGGAAGCACTGATATATATATATATATATATATATATATATATATATATATATATATATATATATATATATATATATATATATATATATATATATATATATATATATATATATATATATATATATATATATAATCAGATGTACAATATCTAGACCTAAATATGAAAAGGTGTCTCTAAATGACGAAACTTAAAGTTCACGAACTCCACCACCGTGGTAGACAGTCCATCTGTTTCCTATAACATCCACCATTATTTTTCCTCTATTTTTTCCCCGTCCTCCCCGCCTCTCTGACACGCAACAGATTGCCCGTCCCCGGGCCTTAGAAGCCGATATTTCCAGCACACCTGCACAGGTTCGCTCGTGGCTCCAGTCATAATGTGAGAAATGACCCCTGACCTTCTCGGGTTCCGGGGCCCCAGCCACGTCACCGTCTCCTGTTACTGTATTGCCTTTATCATTTGATTTTTTTTTTCCGAACATCGCACGCGCCTGCTCGTGAAGAACCCCATGTCAAAGATGGCTGCCTTTTTGTTTTCTTTTTTTTTTATTTAAAGTCTCATTTTGTCCTGCAGATTCAACCTTTCTTTATATCTTGGCGTGTTTCAAACAAATTATTTTTAGCCCCGTTTTACATACGAATTCCGAGTGTCCGGAATGTGGGCCCGTAGCTCGTCTAAATTTTGCATGGCGGTCCATACCTTTTTTGTTCCTAACTTCAAGATGGTTGAAAGGTGGCGATTGATTTTATCTATTGAATTTACGACTAATTAATGGATGTTTACAAAGGACTAATTAGTTAAAGGAAAACGATCGACTTTTGTTTTAAAGACAGGAAAAACAATAAAAGTTCCTTTTTAGACCTAACGATCTATTAGACAGAAGAAGTAGAATTCATTTTATTTTAAAACTCGGCAAATGAAGGGATGGTGTGTTGTGAGCACTATGCCCAGTCGCCTTCACTTTCCTTAACGCAAGTCAGGTACCCATCATAGCTAGGTGGACTCGGGAACGTGATACAGTCTTGTAAAGAAGCTAACCACTCTAAACTAGACAGACTACATTGTAATGTTAAATCGACCATATATTGTGCCCATGTTAACAGAAGCTAACGTATATGCTTAAGTAGGCATGATGGCCTACCATCTTAATCTATAGGAAGGAAACCTACCCCTTCAAGATAGATCACAAGTTACTTGCCACTAATGTACATGTTTAACGTAAGCCTACCATTTCAGTCGTAGTGTATAGGAAACCTACCCCCCCCCATCAAGACGAATCAGATGTACCCAGCAGATAATGTACATGTTGCAAGTAGATATGATAGCCTAGCACCTTAGTGTATAGGAAACCTACACCCCTTCAAGATAGATTACATATAACCAGCATATGATGTACATGTTTGAAGTAGACATAACAGCCTACCATCTTAGTGTACAGGAAACCAACCCCTTCAAGATAGATCACAAGTTACTAGCCACTAATGTACATGTTTAACGTAAGCCTACCATTTTAGTCGTAGTGTATAGGAAACCTTCCCCTATCAAGACAGTTCAGATGTAACCAGCTGATAATGTACATGCTTGAATTAGGCACGACAGCCTACCATCTTAGTGTATAGGAAACCTACTCCCATCAAGACAGATCTGATGTAATCAGCAGATAATGTTCATGCTAGAAGTAGACAGAGTTTCTTCCAGGCATCTCTTCGGGGGGGGGGGGGGGGGGGGGCAAAGCGCCCCCCCCCCCCCCCGAAAAATTTTTACCGCCCTCCCCCCCCCCCCCGAACGAAATGAAAATTATATAATTTATATAGAAAATATATACTTTTAACAGTGTCCGCCCCCCGAAGAAAGTTTACCGCCCCCCCAAAGATTTCAAGTGCCCCCCCCGGAGAATAAAGTCTGGAAGAAACACTGGAAGTAGACATGACAGCCTACCACCAGTGTTTCTTCCAGACTTTTTTCTCCGGGGGGAGGGGGATGCCTGAAAGAAACTCTGCCTACCACCTTAGTGTACCAGAAACCAACCCCCATCAAGACAGACCACAACGTAATGTTGTATCGACCATGTTAGCAGCTGCTAATGTCCAGGCACTTCCTTCCTCCACAGGTGCAACGTACACTGACGTACACACCAGACTAGTTCATGGATGGGGGAGGAAGGGCAGCTATACCAACTCAAAACCTGGTAACGAACTTGGATTTTTTAAAGGATTTTTTTAGGCTTTAGCGCAAGATCACACTGCCCTGGTGTTTAAATGAAAGAGTTCCAAACTTTTTTACTTGATTTTTTATTTTTTTTTACGCACGGCTGAGTTTCTTTGGCAAGCAAAATACATATGGCAATCGCTCAAAAGTTGATAGGAAACTACACATTAGATATAATACTAATGAAATGTCTTCACTATAACTGAAACGGTATTTAAGTTCTCGTGAATACCGACACACACAGATATAGCGACGCGTGGTTGAATAGTAGAGCGTTCGACTGCTAACCTGAAAGTCGTGAGTTTATGTCCCGGGCTAGAGTCCGTTAGATGTTCTTGATTCCACCCAGCTCTGATGGGTACCCGACTCACGTTGGGGAAAGTAAATGGCGGCTGGGTATACTCTATCCCTACTTATGCTGATGTCACTGAAACATGTGAATTCTACTTCACCTGCCAATTGACGGGTTTACGCAGACATACAGACAAAATAGGAAAAAAAAAGTTTTTTTTCGGGAGTTGTAAAACGTCTAGATTTTTCTTATAGGAACGAAATTTCTATTGAAGCAACTATTTCATGTGCTTGCTTAACCCTGCAGACTTACTGTAGACTTACTGTAGGCCCGGATATGGAAGATAATATGGAACACTCTGAGTAGAGGAAGGTGGTGTAGTAGGCCAACACTCATCCATTGGCTATAGAGTAGGGGTTCGGTTGATGAACGAAGGACACCCTAATGCCATATTTGTGAGGACAGTCTGCGTTAGTGTGAGAAGCCTGTCCTGGTATTCAAACGAATATAGTTGGTTTGGAAGTTATTTACTGTAAACCAACAAGGGTCACTTTGTATCAGTAGGAGGAGTTAATCCTTTACTGGCATGAGTGCATGTTTTTAGCGCAATTTCCATACTGACAATTGCGATTATTAACTCGTCAAGGATGGATGTGTGCCCGATGTGTGTCCGATGTGTGTCCGCAGCTTTAAGTCGTAACTCCTCCTCAACGAAGCAATATCGAGGACTAGTTCCTAAAGCAAATATGTTAAGAAAGTTCCGAGGATGATTGTGGGCCAAAAAAATTCCCGGAATTCCTTCCTGGATTTCCCGGAAAAGCAAAAAAAAAACTCGAAAAAATGCAGTTGTTGGCCCATATCTCGGCAACCAGACCTCTTAGCGACTTGAAACATGTACCAATCGATTCCTGCCATAATTTAGAACAATATTGCCGAAGAAAGTTTTCAAAAATTTCTTTTTGTTCGGTCACAAAAAATTAATTAAGGAAATTGCGCTTAAATTGTCACTAGACTTTTTATTAACTTGTTTTAGGTTTCAGTGGGAGGACTTATTGTTTTTCGGCAAATACGTGCATGTTATTTAGGTTTGATTGAAAGGAGTTAGTGTTTTTCTGTCTTTAAGTGCATGTTGTTTGTGTGGGAGGAGTTAATCTTTTCCTGCCAATTATTGCATGAGTGGGAGGAGTTAATCCTCTACTGCGGCCAATTTATGCCCAAACGAGTGCCCGTAGTCTGAAGTGAACAGAATTTTTCCTGACAACAGGAAGTCGTGAATGGGTGCATCGAGAACTGGGCAAGGTCGTTCTAATTACCGGCACTTACCAAAAATTGACGTGATCTCTCACAGCCGCACCCGGCTCCTTGAGATTTTAAATAATCACGCCTTGAGCAATTTGTCTTAATTTAATTGCCGTCTTTAAGAGTGCGCCGTTTTGTTGTAGTTATTTTTAGACATTTTCTCAATTTCTTAGTAAACAGCTAATCAACTCCTAATCATTACTAGCATAAAATAATTAAATCCAAAGCGAGAAATAGTTTGTTTTGTGTTCATTTGCGAATGGTTTTTCAGGTTATAACAATACAGTTCATTCTTTGTTTTTTTTTAATGCCCGTACGTAAAAAAAAACCCAGCGCATTACAATTTTCCAACGGCTTGATGAAGGTTGTGCTAAGCAGTGAAATTGGCCACACAAAATACAATTTGATTTTTTTTAGACGCGCTTAGAAAAGAGGTCGGCTCTACTTCACCTTCACTAACTACGCCTCCACCCGATACTGTATATTTTTACCAAACACTTTTAGCCTCCAATGTACTTTTTCAGTAATCATTTATTTACCAAGTTCTCTAAAGGACTACACCCATGACATATATTTTTACTTTTACCTCTAAGGGCCACTTCCATCTCCTTATATTTCTAAGTAAGTAAAGTTTCCCTTTTCGAACCTGACTGTCTGTGGGTCAAGTGAAGTAGAGTTCACCTGTTTATGTGACCTCGAAATATGAAGGGATAGTGTGAACAGCCGCCTTTACTTTCCCCGACGTGAGTTAAATACATCGGAGCTGGGTGAACTCAAGGACGTTCTTCTGACTTCTACCGGATTCGAACTCGACACTATCGGGTTAGCGTTCTATCGCTCTACCGCTATGCCACGCTGTCCTAACCTTATATTTTTACCAAGTATTATTTCCATCAAATGCAATCCTCCCGCGGTCATGTGTTTACCTTATACTTTCAACTTTTAATGTACTCACCTTCATGTCCAGATGAAGGATGCTCTGAGAATGCATGAAGGAAACCCCGTCGCAGATCTGTCTCATGAACATGACGCACGCGCGCTCCGTGAGTATAAAATCGTCGTTGATTACTCGCTCGAACAGCTCACCCCCATTGACCCTGTTGACAAACACAAAGTCTTTTTATCTACACTTTGATAGCAGGGTTTTTATTTGCAACTCCTGTTTTGATAATAAATTTAAAAAAAACAACATAAAGTCCTTTTATGTACACATTGATAGCAGGATTTTTTTTATTTGCAACTCCTGTTTTAATAATAAATAAAAAATACATAAAGTCCTTTTATGTACACTTTGAAAGCAGGACTTTTTAAATTTGCAACTCCTATTTTAATAATAAATAAAAAAGAACACAAAGTCTTTCTATGTACACTTTGATAGAAAGGTTTTTAAAAAAATTGTTTAGACGTCCTATTTTGTTTGTGAAATCTTATGCTAAGGGTAAAAAAACGACCGAAGACTTAAACTAATAACTAACGCAATGTATGGTCGAACAGAAAATTAAGCATTTATTTTTTTAAAGCCATCTACAAATGATTTGATTTGGAAAGAAAAAACAAATTGAATAATAGTATTATTTAACCTAGAAAAACATTCAGTGAGTTAAATTATCAGATTGCTTGAAGATTTTGTACATTAAAACATTAATAAGATAAAAAATGTTTTAGGTAAAATTAATTGAAATCCAGCAAAAACTCTTTTTTTTACAAATAATTTATAGCAGTCTGTTTTAAGACTTGACGGTTATTATGAAAGATGCAGTTGAATTCATCTATTTCTGGTAAATCTGCTCAAAATGTGATAGAGTGCTTAGCACTTTACCCAGCTGTCTAAAATGATGATTGGAAACAAAACATAAAACTAAAGAAAATAAATGTCACTTAAGACTTACAGTTCTATGACCAGACAAAAGCTCTGCTTAAAAGAGTTTATTGTCAGATATTCAGTATTTATAAGGAAACAAAACAAAAGGAAATGTAATCAGACACTTACAGTTATATGACCAAAAAAAAACAACAAATGTCACTAAAGACTTACAGTTCTATGACGAGATAAAAGAAATGTAATCAGACACTTACAGTTCTATGACCAGACAAAACAAATGTAACCAGACACTTAAAGTTCTATGACCAAACAAAACAAACGTCACTTAAGACTTACAGTTCTATGACGAGACAAAAGAAATGTAACCAGACACTTAAAGTTCTATGACGAGACAAAACACATGTAACCAGACACTTACAGTTCTATGACCAAACAAAACAAATGTAACTAGACACTTACAGTTCTATGACGAGACAAAACACATGTAACCAGCCACTCACAGTTCTATGACGAGACAAAACACATGTAACCAGCCACTCACAGTTCTATGACGAGACAAAACACATGTAACCAGCCACTCACAGTTCTATGACGAGACAAAACACATGTAACCAGCCACTCACAGTTCTATGACGAGACAAAACACATGTAACCAGCCACTTACAGTTCTATGACGAGACAAAACACATGTAACCAGCCACTCACAGTTCTATGACGAGACAAAACACATGTAACCAGCCACTCACAGTTCTATGACGAGACAAAACACATGTAACCAGCCACTCACAGTTCTATGACGAGACAAAACACATGTAACCAGCCACTCACAGTTCTATGACGAGACAAAACACATGTAACCAGCCACTTACAGTTCTATGACGAGACAAAAGCTCTGTTTGTTCTCAAAGGCGTCGTACAGCTGCAACAGTCGGGGGTGCTGCAAACTTTTCATGATCTCCACCTCGTTCATGATGTCCATCCGGTCCTGGGGCCCGTTGACCTCTATAAACTTGGCCGCGAGTTGTCTCCCTGTTCGCCTCTCTTTACAGCGTTTGACCTCCCCGAATTTTCCTCTGTTGACGGAAGTTATCTTAGTATTACTACTATCGTATTATTGGCGTTGAAATATCACTTTCTGTTTATATTGCTCGTAGTATTACGGGAAGTTACCTTAGCGTTACGGGAAGTTACCATAGCGTTACAGGAGTTACCATAGTTACTTTTGTGTTACGGAAGTTACCATAGTGTTAGGGGAAGTTACCATAGTGTTAGGGGGAGTTATCATAGTGTTACGTAAAGTTACCAAAGAGTTAAAGGAAGTGACTATAGTGCATAGGGAAGTTACCATAACGTTATTATCGATTGTACTACTTCGTATCCGTATATTTTCTAGGATAGAACTTGTCTTAAGGTAAAACTACCATTGTCGTATTATCATATTTTCTATGTGGGTAAGACTTTTAAGCAAGTATCAAAATATCTGAGTTTAAATATTTAAAACATTTTTATAACTAAACAAAAGACGACTAAGGTTTAGCTTTAATTCCCCTTACAACACACATTTGAAATACCTTTTACAGGTCTATTCCTCTACCATCTATACTTTGTAACTTTAAGATCTATTTCTCTACACATCTGTAATGTGTAACTTTATAGGTATATTTTACAGGTCTATTTCTCCACACATCTATACTGTATAAGATTTTCTGTCTATTTCTCTACACATCCCAACTGTGTAACTTTTACATTTCTACTTCTCCACACATCGTAAGTTTTACAGGTTTCCACATATCGTTGCCGTGTACGTTACTCGATGTTTTCCCATGCAGCCCGTATGTTTTCCTACGGCATGTCAGCCCCGTCTTATCTATCTACATCAATAGAACACTTCCGCTGGTTAATTATCTCTATTTTGGTGGGAAATTTTCTCTGTTCTATCTCAAAGCTATCTGACAACATGTGGACTTAGATTATAGCCCACACCTTCTTTGCTGCATCCATGTTAACTTATCAGTTTATACATATGGTGGGATTATTCAGGGGCGTAGTTAATGTGTGTGGGGCAGGGGTGTGTCCCGGGCGTTTTAGATTGTAGCCCACACATTCTTTACTGCATCAATGTTAACTTATCAGTTTATACATCTGGTGGCTTTATTCAGTAGCGTAGTTAATGTGTGTGGGGGTGAGAAGCAAAGGTGTGTCCCGGGCGTTATTTTGACATGTAGATGAAAGGAGTGACTGAAAATACCTAAAGGTCAGTTGTAAAAATGTGCTCACATGGGGCGTCAAAAGGATTTTATTGCTAGGGACGGCGTTGGGGTGGGGGAGGGGGAGTATTGGAATTAATCTTAAACAATTCCCACAGATTAACTTTTGTTATTTATTAGACAAATTTTTTTCATATTGATATAAAAACAACTACAGGACAGAACATCATCGCCTTAAGGTTTTCATTTTTACTTACGTCGCTGTTATGATCAGCGTTGGGATTGAGATTAGGACTCGGGTCAAGTTCAAGGGCAAGATTTATTTTTCCACGACTGCTATATTAGTTAAGGATTGGGATTGAGGTAAGCAATCAAGTCAAGTTCAAGAGTCGGATTTATTTTTAAAAGAACACATAAGGGTCAGTTATAGTTAATTTCTGCGGTTGACTAAATATATGGATAGGTTAGTATAACGATGCTTAAGATATACAGTCTGAAATACACCTTATCAACATTTGAATAATCCAAAAAGAAAAGCAGGCAGAAATCGGAGTCAATGGCCTCAATGGCACATAATCATAAATACTTAATTGTGTTGGAGAGGTACCCTTCCAACACTAAAATTAAGAACGCAGAAGAAGAAAGAACATTTGAATAAGTATATATTTTATATATAACTTTATAAGTTAAGATATATCAAGACAATACTTACTTTCCCAGCAAAGAATCCACATTGTAGAAGTCTGTAACCCATTTGTCTTTTTTCACTAACACATCGCGTCTTTCAAACGGCGCTTCCTCATCTGTTTTTCATGCAAAAAAATAAAATAAATACTATAAGTATAGCAGAAGTGAAGAAACGTGTTTCAAAATGCAGGACATGACGTCATACCGTGGCGCCATCTTTCGGGAGGTTAAAAATGACAGCGGTGGTGAGAAATAACGAAACAAAGAACGCTTTTGATAGATTTAGAGAAATCTAAATGAGATCACCGCTCGGGAGGTAGAAGAAATATTGTCTTAAGATTGTAGCAGACGACAGCAAATAAACTGTTCAGACCCGGTGACTCACGCTTTAAATAAATTATAGGGTGTTGTTTATCCGTTTCCGTTTTGTAAACAAACGCGGTAAGAAAAAAAAAAAAACAGGAAACGTAACAGTTTTTTTAAAGGGGTGTGTGGGTAAGACATTCTCGTTTCTGTAGTTTCCGTTGTTTGGACTGTACGTTTCTACCCTGGTTCTATCTGTACTTCCGGGTGTCTGTCTGCTGTCTAAGTGTGAGGCGGTGTACTGTAACTCGACAGTTAAAGTTTAACTGAAACGAAGGCGTGTCAATGTCTAGAATTAAAACAAAGCGGTTTTTTTTAAGGTCTGGAAAGTTAATGAGGTGTGGGTGGATTATTTGTCAATCAGCCACGCCCTTTTTAAATGTATTTGCTAGCACTGATGTCTAAATGCTTTTTTTATACTGTATTTATTATGTCAAACTGACGTAGACCTATCTAACATGATATTAAACTTAGTATAAGCTAAAAAAATTCACCCCCCCCCCAAAAAAAAAAAAAAACAGTATTTTTTCTTTTGCTGTTATCGTTACTCCAACATTAACCTCCGTTCTAACTTCTAACCCTAGCCCAAATCTTATACCTAACCTAACCCATGTATTTTTGGGCTGGTATCGATACTCCGCCTATAACCTCGGTCCTAACCCTAGCCCAAATCCTAACCCAACCCATTTATTTTTTGCTCCGCCTCTAACTTCGGTTCTAACTTTAACCTTAATCCTAAAACTAACATTGAAAGAAGTCAAAAATACCGATACTCAAATCAAAGACCTCTAGCTTTTGTACATTATGTAATGTCGCTGAAGTGTGTGGGGGGGGGGGGTGGCTTTCACCCTGAATTACTTCACGGGGTGTAACACGGCCTAGTGTCGCCAATAGAAAAAGGTACCAAGTCTCACAACGCCATCACTTCTCTAGCTACCCACAGGTTTAACTTGTTCCTTTACCATTGAGATTCGAGTCCATAGCGTTAAGGAAGGCGAGTCGAAGATGTACTTCTACATGTTATTTTCTAAATCGTTTATAACCCATGGAAAAATTATTTTTTTGCGCTCACTGTAAAAAAAAAACCCAAAAAAAAACAACTCGTCTTTAAATCGTGTTTACGTTCCCTTTTTACCCCTCCCCCCCCCCCCACACACACAGACACACCCCACGCCTTTAGCAGATACACGCTGATCATCCCAGAGTTAGATACAGAACGATATCGCAAGCTTCCGAAAACATTCGTCACGCTTGATCGAGCACGGGGCTAAACTAACTCCCACTACCTGATTGGTTCTGACGCTTACGCGTGGGTACAGGAGGGGGGGGGGGTCGAAGAGGTAAATATTTGGGTATGTTTGCACTGTTTTAGCCATCATTTCCCCATCTTTCAATCTGTAATAGGGGGGGGGGGGTGGGAGGAGGAAAGTCGTCTTTATAGTTTGTAGTTAGTGTTTTAGTACTTAATCCTTTAACCATCATTCCCCCACATATTTCAATCTGTAATGGGGGGTGGGGAGTTGCCTGGTATGTAGTTAGTGTTTTAGTACTTATTCGACGAAGGCGCGGCAAAAAAAAAATGAATCAACACCCCCACACCCCTTGCCTACTTCCCACACCCGCGTACTACGATTCTAAAGTGTATAGTAAATCTTGCACTTTCTTACTAAAAGAGTGTTGTTGTTGTTTTTTTTTTTTTTACTGTAAATATTGACGGTGTCGGTTTCAGTGGAGGCTCAGCCGGTAAAACATATGGCACTGCCAAAACCTGTCAATAACAGACTGCGTGAGTGCCTGGCATAAGCGAGACTCCTTTAGCGTGAGTAAACAGATCTAAAATTAGAAGCCGCCCCTGCCCTGATTGTAAGGTTCCATTACAGGGTTTAAACGACGATGTTGAGGTTTAATTCAATACAGATGTAAGGGGTTTACTTCATTACAGATGAAAGGGATTTAATTTATAACGGATGGAAGGGGTTTAATTCATAAAAGATGAAAGGGGTTTAATGCATAACAGATGATTGGGGTTTAATTCATAACAGATATATGAACAATCTACTTTTTAACATATAAGGTAAATCTACTTCACAACATATAATGGTAATTTACTTCATAACATATAAGGGGGATTTACTTCATAATAGTTAATTAAAGGATATTGTAATATACAAAATAGAGACAATAATCTACAAGGGGAGAATCTAGCTGAATTTTCGAAAATGTTTTGAAAATCATTTAGAAACAATTGAAATCAATTTTAAAAAATAGAAATTACAAAATAAATTCAGGCTAATCAATATCTAATTATATGTAGTGCATAGAATTAAAGATTTATTGCTAAACGTAACAGCTCTAACGACAGTGTTTGAAAATATGGCTGTGACTGTGACTGTTAGTGTTAGTAAATACAAAGCGTGTTTCATGTCTTCTGTTGTAAATTATACAAGTATAATATTAATAGAAACGTAGTTCTGTTCCTCCATTCCTCCACCACTTAATTAAAATAATTCTCCTATTAGTTTTTACTTTTATAAACATCGAATAGTGCCAGTATTTTTTCAGAATTGTGGGCGAATTTTAAGCACTCCATTCCTGCTAATTTTACCTTTGAGTACAAATACCAACACACAATTGCCTCCCCCCCCCACCCCACCCGAACCCCAACGAGAGTACGAAATCAATCCTTTGTTTACCGCGTTTCGCGCGAATTGTGTTAATGCTCAAAGTGTCATGGCGCTCGAAATCCGCAGCTCGGGGCGAATGAACTTCGTGAACTTCCGTAAGAAATCGTGTTTATCTTGTGGAGATTCTTGTATGCTGATCTCTTTTGGGGTGGAGAGTAATTTTATTGGCGGCACATAGAGACACGCGCAATAACATATTTTTTATTCTATTTTTAAAAACAATATTATTGGAGAATATAATGTTTTTGTAGATTTTTAGTCGTTCACCCCTTAATTTTAAGTTTTGTTTAGACATATTTTTAATTTCTCGTATACGAAGTATAGAGGAAGTATTGTAATCATGCAAAAAAAAAAAAAAATCAAGATTTTACCCCACCCGGAGTCGGAAAAATATAATTGCAATTTTGTCCGTATGTCTGTGTGTGTATGTGTGTATGTATGTGTGTGTTAGTGTGTCTGTGAACACGATAACTTGAGGATCGTTACAGCTAGGCTGATGAAATTTAGTATATAAGTATTATATCGAATTTGTAGCTATGTTTAAACTGTTCAGCGATTTCCGGTAACCCGGAAGAATATAACTTGAGTACTATTTCAGATAGATAAAATGAAATTTCACTTGTAAGTAAAAGATCTAATTCTCTGCCTTCTGTCAAATTTTGAGTAATTTCCGTTGACCGGTTGGGCATTGCTCTGGTACAATAAACAGCATGTGGGCGTGAACTCTTGATATAATTGAAATCTGCTTCACATGAACTTTGCAGCGATGGGTCTGGGAGTTTTTTTTTAATTTTTTTAAAAAACTTTCTTAAAACAGCCTTTGTGAAGAAATGTTGTGTTTTGTCTTGAAATGCTAGCATACCTCAGCGAAGGCTATTTCTGTGAGGAAAGAGAATTTGGGCAGGGCAAGGCTTGGGGTTAGGTTTTTCGTTTCGGCTCACGTTAGGGAAGATAGCGGTTCACTGATGAATGAGTTCTTGTCCTGATGGAGTATAGGTGTGTGTGTGTGTTTGTGTACCTGTGTGTGTTTATGTGTGTGCGCGTGTGTTTGTTTATGTGTGTGTGTGTGTGTGATCGTGCATGCGTTTGTATGAAGGCCTGTATATGTGTGCGTGCGTGTGTTTGTGTTTGTATGTGTGTGTGTATGTGTATGTTTATGTTTATGTGTGTGTGTATGTGTGTGTGTGACCGTGCATTCGTTTGTACGAAGGCCTGTATATGTGTGCGTGCGTGCATGTACACACACGTGCATGCTTATGCGCGCGTGTGTTTATGTACTAAACCGAGGCAAGTATATTGATCCAGCAGGAAGGTTCTGGCCTGCTCATCTAAGAAAAAAAAAAAAAAAACTCCCCTCCCCCCCCCTTCAGGATCAAACTCCAGAACTTTCAACACGGCAGGTCATTTGTAGCCATGACGGTAAACCTTTGATAAACCCGAGTGTTCGGTGCACGCCAGGTAAGACTGTTTTAAGTCTCGGCGGTTCTCAAAATAAATCGGAAAGTTTTTTTCTCCCCCCCCCCCCCCCCACACCCTCGCCATAACACTGAAGTTACTAGACAATGTTATGTCCCTTTCCTCCCACAAGATTTCAATAGGGCTGCTGGTAAGTAGGTTACCAACAAGTTATATGGCTCATGTAGGTTTTATTGAGCCGTAGAACTGGTTGGTGACCTACTTACCAGCCCTATTACTAGACTATATAAGGGTCTAGGACATTACCCACCCCCTCTCTCTGTCAATCACCCCTGGAGTCATTACTGACCTGTCAATTACCTCCCTCCCTCCCCCCGCATGCTGAAAAACCCTGACGCGAGCCCCATAACACAACCACATATCTAGAGCTACCCCCAACCCCTACATTAACCCTCACCAACCTTAAACCTACATCTAACCCAAACCCTGACCTTAACACTATCTCTAACCATAACCATTACCCTAACTCTAGCTGTAACCCTAACCCTTACCCTTACCCTAGCACTAACTTTAACGTATCCATAACTGGGCAGGGGTGAGGGATAGTGGAAGGGGGGGAGGGGGCTAATTTCCTGATCCCACTATATAAAAAAACCCTCATCTCCAGCAAACCTGGAATAGCTGCCTAATGCCATACTGAGAAAATTAAGCACATTGTTGGCACATTTGAAAAGCAGCTTTGTCGTTAATTTTTTTGTTTGGCCATTTAATTAATTAAGTCTCCCATATTTTTAAATTACAAAATTTGTTTTAACCAATTAGGCCGACCTTTTATGATGTAGAAAAATTTTTTTCAGTGAGTGGAAACAGAAAGTAGGGCTATTTTGCATGCCGAATTATTTACGATTGGTGTGAATATTTCTTAAACGGGACTTGGTGTAGTTTGAGAAGCCTCTGAGGTAGAAGCTGTCTGGTTGCACAAATGAGGAGAGGCGTTTCATGATCCCTTTTCTGTCTTTTTATTGACTGTGTTTGGTGGGTTATAAAGGGGTGTAGGACAAAAGGCCGACATCCAAAAGGCTTAAGGTTTTCCGTGGGTGAACGTAAGGTTTATGTGAGACGGGAAGCCACGAGAGAGAATTTCAAACTGCCGAGTTTTGTTTACGTCTAGAGTTCTAAAGTTGAACAAAAAGGTTGTTTTTTTATCAATGATGATAAAAATAGAAAAGATTTAGCACCATCATGCCAGAGAGGCATCTTCAAGTGGAAGAAGAAAAACAATTCTTTATAGAAGTTAAGACTCTGCCATCTTATGTTGAAAGTAATGAAGTGTTTCCCTATTGAAGCTAACTGATGAATACAGGAGATACAGTGGGGTTATAAATCTGTGTCGACTTTTCCTTTCCCACGTATAGGGTCATTAACGGCTGAATCATTGCTCAATTGTCGGGTGACCGGAACAAGAAAAATCGGGCTAAACCAGGGGTTTGCAACCTGCGGCTCGCGAGCCGCATGCGGCTCTTTTGATATCAAGATGCGGCTCTCCAGCTCCTTGAACAAACAATAATAATCTTAATAAAAAAAATAAAATATTTGAAATAAAAAAAATGTTAGTGGCTCTTTAAAATCAGGGAAATTTTGAAAATTGTAATTTTTGGCTCTTCCGCTTAAAAAGGTTGCCGACCCCTCAGCTAAACTAGTAGAGCTGAAGGAGTGGCTATGTTTTTACTCTTCCGCATATAGTGAATAAAATATTAAATAAACGCACACGTTTATGTTTGCATTTAAGTTGTGTTTATGTTATGCGTTTGCGTTTTCGTTATTTTTGCGTTTGTATTTGTGTTTACATTGTGTTTGTGTTTTTTTTTCTTTTGTGCTTGCGTGTTGCGTTTGTGTTTTCGTTTATGTTTTGCGTTTGCATTGTGTTTGTATTTCTTTTGTGTTTGTGTTGTGTTTAGTTTTGTTTTGTTCCCAAGCTGGTACATTTAAAAAAAGATTCACCGTGGCTGAGCACGGGTATGCAGCTAGTATATATATATATATATATATATATATATATATATATATATATATATATATATATATATATATATATATATATATATATATATATATATATATATATATATATATAGTTTTTTTTAAATTTTTTTATTAACTTAAATTCATACATATATAAGTATGTATAAATATATAGATAGAGATATATAGATATATATAGTTATGTATATGTATATACATATATAATATAATATATAAATATATATATATATATATATATATATATATATATATATATATATATATATATATATATATATATATATATATATATATATATATATATATATATATATATATATATATATATATATATATATATAAGTATATATATAATATATGTATATATATGTATATATATATATGTATATATATATATATATATATATATATATATATATATATATATATATATATATATATATATATATATATATATATATATATAATATATATACATATATATATAATATACATATATATATAATATACATATATATATATATATATATATATATATATATATATATATATATATATATATATATATATATATATATATATATATATATATATATATATATATATACACATACATAAATATATATGTATGCGTGTGTGTGTTTGTGTGTGTTTTAGCTACTCATATTATTTCGTAAACTCACTATTGCACGCATGATGAAATACCGCTATAAATAGTCCGCCTTTCCCCACGATGTGACATAGGAGCGACTTAAAACTTTCAAATGTATGTCTGTCTGCCTGCCCCCACAAATCCACCTACGAGCAACATAAGTGCTCCTAAAAGACGCAATAGCAACTTTTTTTTTTTACCTTATCTAACCTTCTCTGTGAAGTCGGGAGCCAATTTAGATAGAGAGATGATAAAAAAAATAAGATGTTCGTGTAGCTGTAGGTAGCTGGGAGTGTAAGGGTCTGTAATTGCTCCAATTACACCGTCTGCTGAGGCAGTGGGCGAATCGTTTAAGAACCTTAAGAAAGGTGACCTCACACTTGAGTGATGTCTATTGCGTATAATGTGACCGTCTGAGTAGGTTTTTTTTAGTTAATTCTCGGCGATAGTCTATGAATTCCGGGTTCGTGTCCGGCGTAGAATGTCCCTGAGTCCACCTATCTCGGATGGGTTCCTGACAGGTGTAAGGGAAAGTAAAGAAGGCTGGGCATGGTACTATGCCGAGGTTACCGAAACTCGTGAACTCTACTTCACCTGCCCAAAATGGACCGTCAGGTTTGACAGGGTACTCTACATAGGCTATAGGCCATATGAATATTCGAGTCTACGAGGAATATATAACAATATGGATAAAGACGTTGATATAAGAGAAACAGATAAATGGGGATAAATACGTTCACGCATGGTTTGTTGCATACATTTTTCAACCCGGGGGTGGACTGGGGGAAAATAAACTTCCCGGGGGCGGTTCTTCCCCCCCCCCCCCCCCCCTTCCAGACCCACCGCAAAGAATTGCATAAAAGAAAACTGCGTAGATGAAAGGGAACTACGTAGACAAAAATCAGCGTGCACAGAGGCGTAGTGAAGGGGCGGGGCGGGGGGGGGGGTGGGTGGGTACATATGTCCCCGGGCGCCAACCCTAGGGGCGCGTTAATGGGTTGGAAAAAAATTAAATGCTCATTTTAGCTGCAGTTTTGAATTATAAACATTAAAAAATATGGGGAATGGGGCGCCAAATTGAAAGTTTGTCCCCGGGCGCCGGGAGGGGTGCGCTACGCCTCTGTAAACGAGCATGACTTACGATAGACAAACACCAACATGCACAAAACGAACATGACTTACGATAGCTGGGCTCGCTCTCGTCGACTCGAACCTTTTCCCTTCCGCTCGTCATGTCGTCGTCTGTTTTCAGCAAACACCTGGGAGGGTAGAGAAGATAAAGTTTAACATAGTTAGGACATGTGGGGGTAGGGTGGGTGGGTTGGAGGGAGGGGGTCGAAACACAAAATGAACAGAACGTGAGATAGGTCTTTATTTATAACCTGTAGTGGAAGTTCAAAGTTATTATAGAACATGTGTGGTGTGGTATGTCTTCATTTTTAACTGGGGGAGGGGGGTGCGAAGTTAACAAAATGCATGGAGTATGTCCTCATTTACGACTAACTCGTAGGGAAAATATAATAATAGAATATTTGAGAGGTCCACATTTATAACTGGGTGAACATGTAAGGTTTAGAAAGAGGCGTCGAAAAACATGGTAACATTTTTAAAGTAGCGAAACAATATTACAACTTTTAAAACAGAATAAAATAATTCTAAAACGCTTTGACACTTAAAACATAAAACACTTTCTGAAAGAATGTATACCTTTTAAAACAGAATAAAATAGTTCTAAAACACGGGTATTGCTTTTAAAACAGCAACATTTAAAAACATTATGACACTTCTAAAGCAAGCAACTTATCAACCCATCTAAAGTACTTTAAAACTTTTAAAACACCTGAACACTTATAAAACATCTAGATCTATAACACATTAAAAAAAAAAATAAAACAAAAATCCACTGAGTTTGGATTAAAAGAGCTTCGAAGATCGGACAATTTTCGATGAACTCTAACGTCCTACAGTGACACAACTCCACAATAATCAACAAACCATTTTACAGTGCACAAGTTCAATGTTCACATTTGTGTTTAGGTTAGTAATTTACTACCTATAACAACGGAGCCAAGCGTCAAGCTAATCAAGACATTCCGGTAGGATTTTTTGTTCTGTTTCTTTAATACATAAGTACCAAATAAAACGATTAAAATGCGTGCTATAAAATAATGGAAGTAAGTACAGTCGTCCCTCAGTTATCGCGGTTAATAGGTGACTAGAACCGACCAGAAGTGAAAAACCGCGAAGTAGTGTTGCTCTCTCATTTCCAACATACGTACATTTTTTTTTGTGAATGAATAATACCTATAAGTCATAAGTGTATATGAAACCACATAATGGCAATTATTGTCATCTATATATATAATTCTCTTCTGGGAGACGCTAGAAAACAAGCTGTAAGCGCGCCTTGCAGTCCCCTCTCTTCTTCTCTAGGCATAAATCAACCTCCCCCACCCCCACATGGTCTGGTGAGCTGTGGTTCACGCTAAATGTTTACAAACATAGAGCTGGGTTTAGTGACTCCTATTAGGGGCAGATATTTAAGTTTGAAACTATTTTAAAGTCAGGGGAGGTATTAAGAGGAGGCTGCTTTCACGGCGGGGGGGGGGGGGGGGGGGGGAGGGTTGGGGGATGGTGTAGGTTAGGGGTTGGGGGAAATGAGGGTGGGGGGGGGTATCGTCCTTAACGACCAACTGATAGTATTTTAAAGCAAATATTTTCAGTGGCAGAATTGGTACTGTCGAATTCACAAATTATGGATTACTGAAAAGTAGAAAATAAAACAACTAAATAGCGGCGTTTGATACGCCGCGGGTCGGCTCGTTAGTAAATAAAATAATAGTTTCAAGCATGTAAATAGAATATTAATAGTATAAATAACATAATTAATATAAATAATATAGACCTAAATAATATCATAATATAAATATGATCCGTGCGTTTAACATACGTAGATGTAACTAAAGTGTATTTTTGCTGGTATGCGGGCCACTTTCACACCATAACTCCTCAATACACTTCTAAACTACGAAGCGTTGTATTTTAATTACACTTGTTTTAATTATCTCAAAAAAAAACTAGTGACGAAGATATTCATAAACAGCAGTCTAATAACAAACTAACTGACCTCACTAAGAATACGTACACACGAACATTAACTTTTTGTGCGCAGTAGTCTTGCAGTTTAAAAACAACGCCTTAAAGCGGGTTTAAACTATTAAGGAAAAAAACTTCCCTAATAAGTTAATTAGTGCAATATTTTAGTAATTAGACAAGCCATAGGCGTAACAAAGAGGTTTTAAATAACGTAAATTACTTCCCTCAATCTGGCTTGGTTAAACATTGTAATTTAGATAAAGTAACGCACTTGTTATGAATGTTTCTTAACAATGTGTATAGTGATAGTATTCATCATCATACATTTTCTTAACAATGAGTATAGTAATAGTATTCATTCATTATACATTTTCTTAACAATGAGTATAGTAATAGTATTCATCATTATCCATAGTCTTAACAATGAGTATAGTAATAGTAGTCATCATTATACATTTTCTTAACAACAAGTACAGTGATAGTATTCATCATATTGTGTGAGTATTTAGGAATGATCAGACAGAGTAAGTATAGAAAAGAATCCTCATTAGACCTAGTGACCCATTGGGCAGATGAAGTAGAGTTCATATGTTTCTTGACTTCGACATATGAATAGACAGTGTGGTCAGCACTTTGTCCACCCGCCTTTACTTTCTAGGTACCCATCAGAGCTGGGTGGACTCAAGTCTACTGACTTGAACCCGGATTCGACAGAATAATATATTGAAATATGGAGGCAGACGGATGAAATAATTACCAACGATCAAAGCACGTAAGTACAAACACTCTTCCATGAATAAAGTCAGAATTTCGTCTTTGTATAATTAAAACATTACCGCATGTTTAACTCATGTCGCGTATATCCAAGTTTATCCGTGACGTTGTGGATATATATATTATATATATATATATATATATATATATATATATATATATATATATATATATATACTGCAGGATTTAGACATTTGTATTACTTTTTACTATTGGGTAAAGCGGGAAGGGGTAAGATAATCCTGTTATAATCAACGTGCAGGTACCCATGAATCTAGGTAAAGGTTAGCATTAATTTACAATCAAGGGCGGGGAGGCAATGTGGAGGATCTGGCAATTGCCATCAGGGTGGGTGAGGAAATTAGATCAGTGGTCGAAAAGTATGTGTAAATGGTGCCTCGGGCGGGGCACTTTGAACTGTAAATGGTGCCTCGGATGGGGCAATTCGAACTGTAAATGGTGCCACGGGCGGGGCATATCGAGCTGTAGATAGTGCCTCGGATGGGGCACTTTATAACTTTTTGCTACACCGTTGTTGCTCCTGCTTTTACCTTAAATTATAAAATACACACTTAATATATATATATATTATATATATATATATATATATATATATATATATATATATATATATATATATATATATATATATATATATATATATTGTAGGGAGCATAGTAATGGTGAAATATGTACGTAGGGTGTACATTACACAAAACGGCAAAACGGATGTTGTAAATTATTTTCCAAAGACTGAATACAATATTTTGTGATTTAGAAATAAAGGATAATTTACTATGACAAAAGGAAAAGCTTTATAAGTGTTAGACTTAGAAACCAAATATTGGGATCGTGTTTGGGGAGGGGGGGGGGGCTATAATACCCTATACTCAGATACAGTGTTCTGTAATAATTTTCTCTTGAGTATTATCTTTTTTTTGTTTTCATTTGATTATTCAGCCAGACAAAAGGGAGGTAATGTAGTAAATCAGAGTAACATTTACGTCCCCTTAGAGCGACCTTTTCGCTCACAATCTTATTGGGTCATGACGTCAAAAGTGAGCAGATAGTGTTGGAGCTTCCCTAGGTTTTTGTCACGTGTGCATGTTGCATTTTTGGTTAACTATGTCACACTCTCTAGTTACTTAAACTATCTTAAACTATTATATAAAATCGTGAATGTTGTTAAAGCTCATAGGAAAATATTTACATCACTATAGCGCTGCAATTAGGCGGATATAAGTTCAATGAAAATTGTAATTGTCTACAGCACATTTTAGACACTTTTCAGACTTTCTTTGAGAAAATAATACTCCAATATCCTTTAATCACTAAAAACTATTCGTCTAACTCAGTGCTTCTTAACCTTTTTGAAGGTAGCAAGCCCGAACCCCACCAGTTTCAATGCGCGATTCACCGAACCCTTCTTAATAGTTATATCGTCCGCACTGACAAAATCCGATGGTGAATCATTTGAGTCGGGTGTGTGTTGACCCAGAGGCGTAGCGACCCTTCCCGGCGACCGGGGACAACTTTTCGATTTCCAACCCCCCCCCCCCCCTCAAACTTTCAATTTGCACCCCCCTTCGAGATTTTGATTTGCACCCCCCCCCTCAAACTTTCAATTTGCACCCCCCCTCAAACCTTTCACTTTATTTTTCCAACCCATTTTGGCGCCCCCTCAGCTCGGCGCCCGGGGACATATGTCCCCCCCCGCCCCCCCCCCCCTCGCTACGCTACTGTGTTGACCTCCGTCGAATCTCTGAGACTGACTCCCCGAATCCTTGGGGTTCAAATAATGGAGTCAAGGTTAAGAACTACTGGGACTAACTATTCTCACCCTTAAATATGTCCCGAATAGTTAATAATTCTTCAGTTGAAATAAAATTTTGTAGTTAACATACAATTATCTTGTGTATGTAATATATATATATATATATATATATATATATATATATATATATATATATATATATATATACATATATATATACATATATGTATATTATATGTAAGTATTTAATGGCTACACAATTAACAGCCATTAATGTGCTCGAGGTACATGGCTTTTACAAATGTAAACGAAACAAGGGAGACAAACTCTATATATGAACCCAAACTGTTGTTAACATGAAAAGAAATTCATTAGTGACCAAAGAAAATCGAGATCGGTATTTAAAATTTAACGAAATACAAGTATAAAAAACAAACTAAAGTGACAATTGTTCTATTTCAATTTTGTTTAATTTTAGACTCTAATTAAAATAGAAAACCTTTAACAGAAGTAAGTACGTAATTTGTATATAAGCAAAACCTCAATTTTTTTTACGACGTTTTGTTTTTGTTGATTTCTTTGAGAATATTCTCTTTAATTTCAAAAAAAAAAAAAGGAAAAAAAAAAAAAAAATTCTTCTTAATAATAGTTTCGCCCCCCCCCCCCTCCACCACGCCTGTGGAAAAAAATATCTTTCAAACCATCATTTAATTACACATTTGAATCTTCGGGTTGTTTCCTTTTTTATTTCTTTTTATATTTAGACGTTTTGTAATAGATCTATGTATAAGTAAACCATCTTAAATGAATGAAAGTAGGCTACATGTAAGAAATAAGTATTACTATTGTAAATCTGTATCAGTCCTCACAAGCCGATGATGAAAACTGCAATACTACGCGAACATGCAAGGCAAACTGACGCGAAAAAACGATGACCCAATGGCAATTGGAACAGGGCATTACCCCCCCCCCCCGGTCAATTACCCCCGGACATTCCCCCTCCCCCCGACACTACCCCCGGAGTAATTACCCCCCTATCAATTACCCCCTGTCAATTACCTCCCGCCCAGTAGGACATTACCCCCCCCCCCCCCTCAAACGGACATAGCTTACGTTACAGCTAGGGTGAGGCTTAGGGCTAGTTAGGGTTAGGACTAGGTTACGGTTAGGGCAAGGGTAAGGGCTTGGGTTAGGGCTTGATATAGGGTAAGGATTAGAGTTGTTGTTATAGTCAGGGTGATGGTTAGGATTAGGGCTAGAATTAGGGTTAGTGTTAGGTTAAAACCACTGTCTAGAGTTGGTTTTGGTTTTGTGTTAAGTTTTAGGCTGAGGTGAATGCTTAGGTAATACTAAATCGAACATGCAAGGCAAACTGACGCTGTAAATTACATGTCTGAGGCGGAAAAAAACAACTAATTAATACCCATTAGAAAAACTAAAACAAAATTATATACATTTTTAGTCAAAACAGCACCATATTAAATGCACATACTGATTAGTGACGCCTTTATTGTTGTTTTCTTTCAGTAGCAGTGGCGTAGGCAATGGGGAGGGTGGGGGGGGTTACAACCTGCCCCATGGACTCACCCCTATATATATATATTATTATTATATTATTATTATATATATATATTATTATATATTATTATATATTATTATTATGCCCCCCCCCAATCGCAACGCCTCTCCTATAAAACCCCTAGCTTGTCCGCAAACCGACAGAATAATAATTAGAAAACAGTATAAATAATAGGCAGTATTTAAAATATCCGTGTTTTACCTACAATATTTCACTTTATCCATTCACGCATTTTTTTTCCAGTACTTTAAATTTTAAAAATTTACAATTGAGTTTCATAACTAAAACCATTGCGCACCTAATGAACGTGATGACGCGCCTATAATAGTGCTGAATAGTTGATTAAAAATTATAAGTAATAAACAGTAGGGCCTACATTCAGTGAATAAAATAAATAAAAGATTGCCTTTTATCAATCCATGCTAATTATAATTTTCTGACAATAATTTCCTCTTACACATCCGAATAATTTGCATTCACATTTTGCTAATTATATTATTGCAACACTAATTCCTTCTATGACGAACGTATATTTGCATTCACATTTTTTATTAGCGTGAGTTTAATGTATTTTAAAATTACCTCCTTTGTCAAAATTAGAAAAGAGTTAAATTAATTTGATTTTTCTTCCCTACTGTTATTATGTTATTAAAATGTATCCACTTTTTCTGGGAGCCTAAACGAAAATGATATTTGACATTAATCTTTTTAATACGTTTTAGCAGTTTGCGTGTATTTAATATTTTCTTGACGTTATGCGAAAGAGTAAAAACCGTGGCAATTTTAAAATAGCTCTATGCCGCTATATAAACAAACCCTACTCTATTACTTATAATAAGACACTGCGGTGCACTGAAAAGCACAGCATGGTGCGAATGTCTACTTTTATAGTCCCAAAATCTATAGCGATGACGGAAGGAAGGAAGGAAGGAAGGACTGACACACTACTTGCCCGCTTATATTATATATATATATATATATATATATATATATATATATATATATATATATATATATATATATATATATATATATATATTATATATATGTATATATATATATGTATATATATATGTATATATATATGTATATATATATATGTAATTCCTGGCAACGCCACTGTTCCGTAGTTAAAACATAATGCACGTGACGTCATTGTTTTTGCGTTACTTGTATCCTCTCTAGAACGTTCTTGTCACAACCATAAACACGTTTCCGGTTGCATAATTAAAAATGAGTTTCTATACTCTTTATAATATAATCAATGTGCTTTCAATATTTATAATAGTATTCTTCTTTTATCCCAAATTCAATTCAGTTCTAGTTATTAGCCATACCAACTCAACCCCCTCCCTTGTATAGAATTTAAAAATTTCCTTTTCCTTTTTTTTACATTTTTCTTCTTTCCACTGAACATTGAATCACTATTTAACTACACATTTACACACATTTACATTTTCAGGTTTAAAAATAAAGTAGAAATTAGATTTTTTTTTAAATTAATTACACATAATATAAACCGTCTTTAATGAATGAAAGGACATGCCGTAACATTATTACTACTGTAATAGAAATATGCAAGATGCCTAAATGATGTAGCTATCAACTTAGTGCTACAAACTGTCTAATCTAATTATCTCGTATGGAACTTTCCATCTAATAACGTCTAAACTTATGTAAGCTGTCTAAAGAATTCTAGCGTTCAACTTACTTTGTCTTGTAAAAACATACACCAGCGAAAGCAAGTAACGAATGTCCCATTTTGCTGTTGTCTGCGTTGGTACTGCTGTTTTGACTATTTTCACTGCTGTCGTTGTGCGGTTGGCTGTTGCTGTTGTTGAGAGTTTCGATATCACTCTCTGTAAGATCTTTACTCTTACTGTCGTTAAGATCTTTACTCTGACCGTCGTTTGTATCCTTGGTATTGCTGTCAAGATCTTTGATCTGGCTTTCGTTAAGATCTTTGCTTGTGCTATCGATGTGGTCAGGGATTTCGCTGATTTTAAGATCCTTACACTGGCTATCAATAAGATCTTTACACAGTTTACCTTTAAGATCTTTACAGTGGCTCTCGGTACTATCTTTACATTGGCTATCTTTACATTGACTATTAATAAGATCTTTACATTCACTATGAGCTTTAATATATTTTTTGTTAAATCCTTTACTTTGGCTAACTTTTAAATCTTTGCTTTTGTAGTCAGTTAAATTATGAATTTTTTTGTTAAGATCTTTACACAGTCTATCTTGAAGATCTTTACTCTGGCTATCGTAAAGACCTTTACTGTGGCTATCACTAAGATTGTTACTGTGGCTACCGTTAAGATCTTTACACTGCCTATCGTTGAGATCTTTGCCTTGTGTATCGTTAAGATCTTTACCTAGTGTGTCGTTAAGATCTTTACTGTGGCTAACGTTGAGATCTTTACACTGCCTATCGTTAAGGTCTTTCCCTAGTGCATCGTTAAGATCTTTACCTAGTGCATCGTTAAGATCTTTACCTAGTGTATCGTTAGGATCTTTACTCTGCGCACCATTACAATCTTTATTGAGACTAACGATAAGGTCTTTACGCTGGCTGTTATTTACATCCTTGCCCTTCCTTTTGTCATACTCCCTCCTCTGACTCGCGTGAAAATCTCGATTGTATCCTTCGTGCAGGTACTTCTTCTTGCGGTGGTTGACTAGATACTTGCTCTTCCCGGCGCTGTGATCTTTGCTCTTGCCGGCGCTGTGATCTTTGCTGTGATCTTTGCTCTTGCCGGTGTTGTGATCCGGGGTGGGACTAACGTTGTTGTTCTCCTCACGGATCTCGCACGTCTCTAACCGTTTGACCAGCTCCCCCACGAAGCTGAAGTTGGCGCTTGCCAACGTGCCATACATGAACATCACCGAACAGGTCAGAGGTCAAGGTCGACCGTGGAATTTTTTTTTCCCCGCGATGGGAGGAGGTCAGGTTGTAAGGAATCCAGGGCTGGCCGGACGGGCGTTAAGGGTTGGGTGGGGTTGGGTGTAGGGTTGGCTGTTGATGGCATAAGGGTGATGAATCCAACTTTGAAGGTTGTATCTAGGAGATGGTGAGGGATATCCTTGAGTTCGATGTTGTCATGGGTGATCATTAAGACAATGCAAGTAGCGGGAGACTTGTTGTCTTTTAAGTAAAATCGCAGGAAGATTGTTTCAGCTTAGATTCAGATTCTACTTTTTTTTAAATTTAAAGTTTTTTTTTTAAATTACCACAACATTTAAATTTTTCCTTTTATTTTTTTAGAAAACAAATGCACGAATTATTTATTTATCAACTAGAAAATAAGCACATTAATATAATACGTTTGAAATCGGACATTTTCTTGAAAATCTAATTAATTGTGGTTTTGAAAATTGATTAAAATAATTGTTTATAAATTAAACAAAATTACTATTATAAACATTTTAGTACGTCTTTTTATCGGCATCAAAATTATCATAGAAAATAACAACTTTAAACTAGTACGTTGAAAATAAACAGCTTTTATGAAATCATTTCTTTAAGTTTAAAATGTTGTTTTAAAATGACTATTTTTCCCTCAAAATTAATCTACTTAAAATTAAAATTATTAATTTTTTAACTGATCACTATCTGTGCCTAAATTCTTCTATATTTTTAGTTGTAATTTATTTCACAAAATCATAAAGTCACAATAGTTACACATTTAAATTCTAAATTTTAATTTTCTATACATAAAAAACGGAAAAAAAGATTAGCTAAGAATAAATTTATTTACCGACTTATGAAATATAAATATATAAACAAACGATGGTATTCTAACACTGAATTCACACGATAATTCACGAGACAACTCCACAGGCACGAATCACTGAAAAATCCACCAAGTATCCAGAGCCTTAACTTTATCCAACTTGTGCTCTAAGCTTGCCTCTGGACACATTTATACTACACCTCAGCTAAAAAAAAAATTCGCCTTTAACAACCTCCCCACTCACACATAACATCCTCACAGCCCCCACACCTATTTTACAGGTAAGTCCTCCCCCACCTCCCACCCCCTTTTTTACAGGTAAGCAGCAGCTAATATATTTTTTTTCTCGATATTTTTTTTTCTTCTCTTATTCTTATATATTCTAAAATGGCCCCCAACCCATGGTCTATTCCCAGCAAGATTCCAATAACTTCCCTTACATATGCTAAACACACGTAAACCTCACCATCCAATCAGAACAGCTCATCTACGTACTACGGTCCAGCTAACCACCGAAAAAAAAAACAAAAAAAAAAAAAAACGCCAAAACATTCCATAGAGTTGAGTTTTTAATATAGATATTTTTCCCCCATTTTTTCTTTTTTTTTTAAGAGAAGAAGAAGAAAAAAGGTAGACCCATATTTTTATTCGTGCTTGCGCGAGCTATGCACGTGCGATTCTGTCGTGCTTATCTCTTGACATTTACTGCACGAGCTACGAGGCTCGCGAGCGCGCGTGCGTCCCATATCCTGAGGGGTATTTCTTTTTTACTCACGTTAAGATAGAAGAAAAAAAAATCGCTAAAATTTATGCTGTAAATTCCGGATAAATTATTACACAACCTGATAGTATTTTAGGACTCGTTGATGTTTACAACTAATTAGTGCATAGACGACAAGGACGAGGGGAATGTGTAAAGGACATTGGTTTAGTAGGCATAGGAGTGTGTGTGTGTGTGTGCTTATGTGCGTATGTGTGTGTACGTAAGTGTGTGTATGTGTGTGTACGTAAGTGTGTGTGTGCGTACGTAAGTGTGTGTATGTGTGTGTACTTACGTGTGTGTATATGTGTGTACGTAAGTGTGTGATTGTGTTTGTGTGTACGTACGTGTGTGATGTATGTGTACGTAAGTGTGTGTGTACATTTGTGTATGTGTGTATGTTGGTATAGTGGATGAAGGTATTTTAAATGTATGTAAATGTGCCGAGTTCAACCATACGGTCCACATAAGTTTAACGCGTATACATTCGATAAGTGTGACATATATTGTTGAATGATTCTGTGTGACAGATATTGTTGAATGAGTATGTGTGACAGATATTGTTCTAAACTTGATCGAGAACTACAGTTGTAAGTTAGCGTAAAAACTATTGCTTAACGTATGTGTTAAAACTTTTTAATATTTAACATCTATAGTTGAATATTAATTTGTCTAAGTCTAAGCAGCGTTTAAAATTTAAACCTACCAAGGGAGACAAACTCAATATTCCCAAAAGTCGTTAAAATATAGAAACAATCTTTATAGATAAAACAATTTTGCATCGCATAGTTAGCTATTATGCTAAATATATACATTGATAATAACTTAAGTGACTGGTTCTTCAATTATTACACTTCTTAATATCTATTACTATTATTATTAGACAATAGTTCTAATAGAAAACCCTTATCTGAATTAAATACATAATGTTTAGTATTTGGAAAGCCCCCGCCCAATAAATTACACACGAGTCACGTCTGTCTTGCGACTTTACAACTTAAGTGGAGGTTTTAAATATAAAGCTGTCATTTTACATGTTATAGGCTCATAACATGTATTGTCTTTACTTTCTTATAATTCTTTATATAGTTGGGTATTTTAGTTGCACATTTTTTACTTATTTATATGTTGTGGGAACAGGTCTACAGAACCCATATATTGCTGGCTTTAGTTAACATAACAAGATGTGCGTAGTAATTGAAATAAAGTATTTTTGAAAGCCCAAAAAAAAAAAAAAAAAAAAAAAAAAAAAAAAAAAAAAAAAGTGGAGGTTTTAAATAAAAATTAACTAAAACTGATTTTCACAATTTAAAAAAAAAAAAAAAATGGAGGTTTTAAATGTGTCTCACTGTAATAACATAACTTTTCCGATTGCTTAAAATTTGTATAATTTTAATTCTCGGTAATCCCAATTTTTTTCTCAGCTCTACTGCCTGTGCAGTTTTCTGCGAAACCTTGTAATGTAAATCGTGGACCATATATTTTATCACAAAAAAAAAAACAACTGTCGCCGATAGTTTATTGCCATCGTAGGTTATGTTTTGGATTTGGTTGTCTAAACTTGATATAACTATAACCCACCGATTACTATTATATTTCTTTATAAAAATTATTTGCCTATACTGGCCATGCCTTGTAATAGTCAGGCTATTAATACTCTGTATTTTATTATGTTAGGCATCTAAACCTAATAAAACACCAACCATTTATTGATCATTTTCCTTTATATTAAAGTATAAGTTTTAGAGACTGTATATTTTCCTAATATCAGCAAATGAATGAGTTAAAGATTGTATTTGAACATGAAAAAACTATGGTATATATATTTACCCTACATCACCAGATATGAGTATATGTACAATCGTTGTTTTTTTTCATGGTATGTACATTGTTTAGAATGTACATTGTTTAGAAAATTGTTATTGTTTACTTCTAATATACAATTAGTTTTAATTATAATTACTTAAATTAACAATGTATGAAGTACTCACATCATGTTAGTAATATCATAATCCTCATTGACTTCCTCAATTGATGCCGATAAACACGGGCATGTGGTTGTATTCTCAGAAGTGAGTAGCATTGTGTTGGCGGTTGTACTCACGGGGAGGCGGTGGTTGTTGTTGTTTACGGTACGCGTTACGTCACCTTGGTTAGATGAGCTACCGAGTAACGAATTTTTAGTTATCTGAAGAATTTACTAGTGTAGGTGGTCCTTGTAGTTTCTAAATAAAACGTTTTCTATCGTGTAACTATAGTAACTGATCTATCGAGTTTTTTTAAAAATTGAAAGTGATATTTCGAATAATCTACTATTTGGCTAGCGTAGGTGACGTATCGAGTTTACTAACGTAGGTTATGTATCGAGTTAACTACCGTAGGTGATGTATCGAGTTAACTACCGTAGGTGATGTATCGAGTTGACAAGTGTAGGTGATGTATCGACAATATACTAACGTAGGTTATGTATCGAGTTGACTAGTGTAGATGATATATCAATTTAACTACCGTAGGTTATGTTTCAAGTTAACTAGTGTAGATTATGAATCGCGTTAACTACCGTAGGTGATGAATCGAGTTTACTAACGTAGGTGATGTATCGAGTTAACTGGTGTAAATTATGTATCGAGTTAACTACCTATGTGATGTATCGAGTTAACAAGAGTAGTAGCTGTGGCACAGAGCTAGAGGCGATGCTGTAACGAGACGGCGTAAGACCAGTCCCACCCCGTGTGAAGAATACCTCAAGTAGTTGGTGACGTTAGAGGAAGTCAAACACTCGGTGGTAGAGGAAGTTTCTGTACAGCGGCGTAGCCACGATTCACACACATCTTTATATATATATATATATATATATATATATATATATATATATATATATATATATATATATATATATATATATATATATATATATGCGTGTGTGTGTGAGAGAGAGGAGAGAGAGAGAGTGGGGAGGTTGTTAAGGCGAATTTTTTTTTAGCTGAGGTGTATTAAAAATGTGTCCAGAGGCACAAGCATTAAAGATTAAAGTCGACTACAAGATGCGTCAGAAAATGTGTGGGTGTGTAGGTGGTGGGTGGAGCGTACACCAAGTAAAAAGGTAATTTTATTTCTTTAGAATGTATATATATTTATAGTGTGTATACATGTATGTAAATAAACATACAGCTATTGGGAGGCTCACCATTAACCTGACCGGGTGTCGCTCAGCGTTTGCTTTACATGGTGACCTATTCGATGAGCGATCAAAATTATTTTGTCAAAACATAGACCATTACAATAAATCTGAAAATTCATTTTTTTAAGGAATCATTTAAAAATCTTCACTCACATACGAACCCAAGGAGATTAATTACAGACGTAATTAAACGTTAAGATTGTGTACGACTCGCTGAAACTCTCTGAGAAATTATTGTAACACACTTGTGAATCGTAGATGCTTTAAAAACTTTGTAAGGGTTTTGATTTAGAGATTAAGTTTATCTTATTTGTCCAAGTCTCTGCACACGGCATCGCCATGGTAACGGTCATGAAAACATACAAATAAATTAGTTTGTGTGATATTTTTAAAAATTTAGCTTGTGAGCGGAAGACATAGAGAATTGGAGGCGGGGGGGGGGGGTACAGAGGCCTAGCGACCCATTCCGTTGCCCGGGGCTAACGATAATTTGTGCCCCCCTCTAACCCATGTATATAAATAG